TCCAGTCTCTCATCCATGGGCATTTGGGTTGGTTCCAGGTCTTTGCTATTGTAAACAGTGCTGCAATGAACATTCATGTGCATGTGTCCTTACAACAGAACAATTTATAATCCTTTGGATATATACCCAGTAATGGGATTGCTGGGTCAAATGGAATTTCTATTTCTACGTTCTTGAGGAGTCACCACACTGTCTTCCACAATGGTTGAACTAATTTGCACTCCCACCAACCGTGTAAAAGTGTTCCTATTTCTCCACATCCTGTCCAGCATCTGTTGTCTACAAATTTTTAATGATTGTCATTCTAACTGGTGTGAGATGTTATCTCAATGTAGTTTTGATTTGCATTTCTCTAATGACCAGTGGCAATGAGCATTTTTTCATATGTTTGTTGGCCTCATATATGTCTTCTTTTGTAAAGTGTCTGTTCATATCCTTTGCCCACTTTTGAATGGGCTTGTTTTTTTTTTCTTGTAAATCTGTTTTAGTTCTTTGTAGATTCTGGATATTAGCCCTTTGTCAGATGGGTAGATTGCAAAAATTTTTTCCCATTCTGTTGGTTGCCGGTTAACTTTAATGACTGTTTCTTTTGCCATGCGGAAACTCTGGAGTTTAATTAGGTCTTATTTGTCTATTTTGGCTCTTGTTGCCAATGCTTTTGGTGTTTTAGTCTTGAAGTCCTTGCCTATGCCTATGTTCTGGATGGTTTTGCCTAGGTTTTCTTCTAGGGTTTTTATGGTGTTAGGTCTTATGTTTGTCTTTAATTCATCTGGAGTTAATTTTAGTGTAAGGCGTCAGGAAGGGGTCCAGTTTCTGCTTTCTGCACATGGCTAGCCAGTTTTCCCAACACTGCTTATTGAACAGGGAATCCTTTTCCCATTGCTTGTTTTTGTCAGGTTTGTCAAAGATCAAATGGTTGTAGATGTGTGGCATTGCCTCTCAGGCTTCTGTTCTGTTCCATTGGTCTATGTCTCTGTTTTGGTACCAGTACTATAGTGTTTTGATTACTGTAGGCTTGTAGTATAGTTTGAAGTCCAGTAGTGTGATGCCTCCCGCTTTGTTCTTTTTGCTTAGAATTGACTTGGTTATGCGGGCTCTCTTTTGGTTCCCTATGAAGTTTAAGGTGTTTTTTTCCAGTTCTGTGAAGAAGGTCATTGGTAGCTTGATGGGGATAGCATTGAATCTATAAGTTACTTTGGGCAGTATGGCCATTTTCACAATATTGATTCTTCCTAACCATGAACATGGAATGTTTCTCCATCTGCTTGTGTCCTCTCTTATTTCATTGACCAGTGGTTTGTAGTTCTCCTTGAAGAGTCCTTTTACATTCTTTGTTAGTTGTATTCCTAGGTATTTTATTCTTTTTGTAGCAATTGTGAATGGCAGTTCGTTCTTGATTTGGCTCTCTCTAAGTCTGTATTGATGTATAGGAATGCTTGTGATTTTTGCACATTGATTTTGTATCCTAAGACTCTGTTGAAGTTGCTTATAAGTTTCAGGATATTTTGAGCTGAGACGATGGGGTCTTGTAAATATACAATCATGTCATCTGCAAATAGAGACAATTTGACTTCCTCCTTTCCTATTTGAATACCCTTTATTTCTTTTTCTTGCCTGATTGCTCTGGCTAAAACTTCCCATACTGTATTGAATAGGAGTGGTGAGAGAGGACATCCTTTTCTAGTGCCAGATTTCAAAGGGAATGCTTCCGGATTTTGGCCATTCAGTATGACATTGGCTGTGGGTTTGTCATAAATAGCTATTATTATTTTGAGATATGTTTGGTCAGTACCTAGTTTATTGAGAGTTTTTAGCATAAAGGGCTGCTAAATTTTGTCAGAGGTCTTCTCTGCATCTATTGAGATAATCATGTGGTTTTTGTCTTTGGTTCTGTTTATGTGGTGTATTATGTCTATAGACTTTTGTATTTTGAACCAGCCTTGCCATCCCCGGGATGAAGCCTACTTGATCGTGTTGGATAAGCTTTTTGATACGCTGTTGCAATTGGTTTGCCAGTATTTTATTGAAGATTTTTGCATCTATGTTCATCATGGATATTGTTCTGAAGTTTTCTTTTCTTGTTGAGTCTCTGCTGGGTTTTGGTATCAGGATGATGTTGGTCTCATAAAATGATTTGGGAAGGATTCCCTCTTTTTGTATTGATTAGAATAGTTTCAGAAGGAGTGGTACCAGCTCCTCTTTGTATGTCTGGTAGAATTTGGCTGTGAACCCATCTGGACCTGGGCGTTTTTTGGTGGGTAGGCTATTAATTGCTGTCTCAACTTCAGCCCTTGTTATTGCTCTATTCAGGGTTTTGACTTCTTCCTGATTTAGGCTTGGGAAGATGCAAGTGTCCAGGAATTTATCCATTTCTTCCAGGTTTACTGGCTTATGTGCATAGAGTTGTTAGTAGTAATCTCTGATGGTGGTTTGTGTTTCTGTGGAATCTGTGATGATATCCCTTTATCATTTTTTAGTTCATCTATTTGATTATTCTTTCCTTTCTTTTTTTATTAATCTGGCTAGTGGTCTATTTTATTGATCTTTTCAAAAATCCAGCTCCTGGATTTATTGATTTTTTTTTTTTGAAGAGTTTTTTTTTGTGTGTGTGTGTGTGTCTATCTCCTTCAGTTCTGCTCTGATCTTAGTTATTTCTTGTCTTCTGCTAGGTTTTGAGTTTTTTTGATCTTGCTCCTATAGCTCTTTCAATTTTGATGATAGGGTGTCCATTTTAGATCTTTCCTTGCTTCTGATGTGGGCATTTATTGCTATATGTTTTCCTCTAGACACTGCTTTAAATGTGTCCCAGAGATTCTGGTATGTTGTGTCTTCATTCTCATTGGTTTACAAGGACATCTTTATCTCTGCCTTCATTTCATTGTTTATCCAGTTAATAGTCAAGAGCCAGTTGTTCAATTTCCATGAAGCTGTGCAGTTCTGAGGTAGTTTCTGAATTCTGAGTTCTGACTTGATTGCACTGTGGTCTGAGAGACTGTTTATGATTTCCGTTCTTTTGCACTTGCTGAGCAGTGATTTACTTCCAATTATGTGGTCAGTTTTAGAGTAGGTGTGATGTGGTGCTAAGAAGAATGTATATTCTGTGGATTTGGGGTGGAGAGTTCTGTAAATGTCTATTAGGTTTGCTTGGTCCAGGTCTGAGTTCAAGTCCTGGATATCCTTGTTAATTTTCTGTCTCATTGATCTGTCTAATATTGACAGTGGAGTGTTCAAGTCTCCCACTATTATTGTGTGAGAATCTAAGTCTCTTTGTAAGTCATTAAGAACTTGCTTTATGTATCTGGGTGCTCTTGTATTGGGTATGTATATAGGATCATTAGCTCTTCTTGTTGCATTGATCCTTTTACCATTATATAATGCCCTTCTTTTTCCCTTTTGATCTTTGTTGGTTTAACGTCTGTTTTATCAGAGACTAGGATTGCAACTCCTTGTCTTTTTTTGCTCTCCATTTGCTTGGTAAATCTCCATCCCTTTATTTTGAGCCTATGTGTATCCTTGCATGTGAGATGGGTTTCCTGGATACAGTGCACCAATGGGTTTTGGCTTTTTGTCCAGTTTGCCTGTCTGTGTCCTTTGATTGGGGCATTTAGACCATTTACATTTAGGGTTAGTATTGTTATGTGTGAATGATCCTGCCATTTTGATGCTAGCTGGTTGTTTTGCCCGTTAGTTGATGCAGTTTCTTCATTGTGTCAATGCCGTTTACCATTTGGTACATTTTTGGAGTAGCTGGTACTGGTTGTTCCTTTCTATGTTTAGAGCTTCTTTCAGGAGCTCTTGTAAAGCAGAACTGGTGGTAATGAAATCTCTGAGTAATTGCTTGTTTGTAAAGGATTTTATTTCTCCTTCAGTTATGAAACTTAGTTTGGCTGGATATGGAATCCTAGGTTGAAAGTTCTTTGCTTTAAGGATGTTGAATATTGGCCCTCACTCTCTTCTGGCTTGTAGGGTTTCTGCTGAGATATTAGCTGTGAGTCTAATGGGCTTCCCTTTGTGGGTGACCCGATCTTTCTCTCTGGCTGTCCTTAGCATTTTCTCTTTCATTTCAACCCTGGTGAATCTGATGATTAGGTGCCTTGGAGTTGATCTTCTTGAGGAATGTCTTTGTGGTGGTCTCTGTATTTCCTGGACTTCAGTATTAGCCTGCCTTGCTAGGTTGGGGAAGTTTTCCTGGATAACATCCTGAAGAGTATTTCCCAGCTTGGATTCATTCTCTCCGTCACATTCAGGTTCACCTATCAAACATAGATTAGGTCTTTTCACATCATCCCATATTTCTTGGAGGCTTTGTTTGTTTCTTTTTACTCTTTTTTTCTCTAATCTTGCCTTCTCGTTTAATTTCATTGAGTTGATCTTTGACTTCTGATATCCTTTCTTCTGCTTGATCAATTTGGCTACTGAAACTTGTGTATGCTTTGCGAAGTTCTTGTGTTCTTTTTTTCAGCTCCATCAGTTCATTTATGTTCCTCTGTAAGCTGTTTATTCTTGCTAGCATTTCGTCAAATCTTTTTTTCAAGGTTCTTAGTTTCTTTGCATTGGGTTAGAACATGTTCTTTTTGCTCAGAGAAGTTTGTGACTACCTACCTTCTGAAGCCTGTTTGTGTCAATTCATTATATTCATTCTCCATCCAGCCTTGTTCCCTTGCTGGTGAGGAGTTGTGATCCCTTGGAGGAGGAGAGGCATTCTGATTTTGGGTATTTTCATCCTTTTTGTGCTAGTTTCTTCCCATCTTTGTGGATTTATTTACCTGTGGTCTTTGTATTTGGTCACTTTCAGATGGGATCTCTGAGTGCATGTCCAGTTTGTTGATGATGAAGTTATTTCTTTCTGTTTCTTAGTTTTCCTTTTAACAGTCAGGCCCCTCTGCTGTAGGACTGCTGGAGGTCCTCTCCAGACCCTGTTTGCCTGGGGCTCACCTGCAGTGGCTGCAGAACAGTGAGGGTTGCTGCCAGCTTCTTCTTCTGCTGTCTTTGTCCCAGAAGGATACCTGCCAGATGTCAGTCTGAGCTCTCCTTTATGAGGTGACTCTTTTCATATATGGAGGTCGTGGAGCTACTTGAGGAGACAGTGTGTCATTTATAGGCGCTCAGGTGCTGAGCTATGAGCTCCATTGTTCCATTCAGAGCTGCTGGGCAGGTATGTTTAAGTCTGCTGTATCAGAACTCTTAACAGACTCTTTTTTACCCCCAGGTGTTCTGTCCCAGGAAGGTAGGGCTTTATTTATAAGTTTCTGTCCTGCTGCTTCCTTTTTTCAGGGATGCCCTGCCCAGTGAGGAGGCAGCCTAGTCACTGTCCGTCAGCCAAGGTGTTGCTGAGCTGCTGTGGGCTTTGCCCACCTACTGTGTGAACTTCCCTGCCATCCTGTTTATAGGGGTATAGTTAAAACTGCCTCAGCAATGGCAACCCACCTCTGTAATGGTGGACTCTCTCTATAATGGCGGACTGCCGTATTTCAATTGCATTTTGAATAAATACTGTTGTCAGAGAGGGCCATTTGTCTTATTGACTAATCTGTAGCTTTGTGCAAAGACGTATTTACTATCTGGGTCTGGACTGTGATACATAAGAATATTAGAAAGGAGTATGTGTGCAGTTTGCATTTCTTATATAAAAAATGATGAGAAACAAAATAGCTTTTGTAACTGCCTAAATGCTATTATTATATGTAAAGGATAATAGATTTATATAGGATAATATCTTGTTAGGAATATTAGGCTGTAGTAATAAATAACATCAAATGGCACTTCACAGTTTATAATGTACTTTCATAAGCATCATAATAAACTGCTAACATTTATTGAACACATCCTTGGGTCATATTCTGTATGAAGTGTTTATATGCATAATAACTCTAGCTTCTATACTTCATAACTCTATTAGGTAGGCAATATTAGTGTCCCCATTTTGCTAATGAGGAAATCAATGTACATACCAGGTTAAATAACTTGTTTAAGGTCACAAATTAGCATCACAACTTGAACCCTAGTTCATTTGACCCAGAGCTGAAAATTATACTTGCAATGCTTATGCTATAGCCAGAAAGTAGAAAGCAGAGAACCCCAAACTAATAGCCAGAGTAGATTCTAGTCTTTGTTACAGAGACTTTCTATTTGACCTTGAGCTTTTGAACTTGTGATTTCTCCTTTCACTTTCTTGGGCGGGGCACAGGTTGAGGTAGATGCTCTCCAGCATTTTGAGCTTTGTCATTGGTGATCTGAAGCCTGAGGTTGGCTTCTGCTCTGGTTCTGGGGGTGGTAGTGAAGCAGCATTGTTGTCTGAGTTAAATACTCAAGATCTGTTGTCTCACAACCACAGAAATCTAGGACGTGAACAGGCAAAAGAAAGAGAAAAGCTCTCTTGCTACAGAGAGGTCTCAGAGAAAATAAGTTGCCACTTCCACAGTGAAATGCAGAAGGTTTTATAGGTGAGCTTGAGCAGGTGGTGTCTGATTTACGTAAAGCAGTAAAGGTTGGTCGGACCAGGTGTGTCATTTGGGTAGCATGTGAAAATCTGGCTCATCTTTTATCATGCAGATGGTTTCTTTACCTGGCTGGTGCCATGTTGCCTATTTCTTAACTGTACATGTGGTGACAAAAAGGAAGATGATGCCTACATGTTGAACATGCCTGTCATCCAGGTAGCCCTTTTCTATTGGCACAGCTGTCGGCATTCCCCCATGAAAGCTTCCAGCTTGCCAGCTTGTTTATCTGTCTGCAGCTCTATTTCTCAGGCTGCTCTTTGTTAGAAAAGAAATGATTTTGGGGCTGCTTTTTTTTTTTTTTTTTTTTTTTAATAGAGCACTGGACTAGTTCACATAGATCTGAGGAGGTTTTACTTTCTAACTCTTTTACCAAGAGCCTTGATCTTGGACAAGTAGCTTAACTACTCTTAATCTCAATTTCTTCATGTGTCAAATGATAACAACACCCACCTCAAGGAATTATCAGGAGGATAAATGAAAGAGCTTGCTAAAATAAAGGTTGATGACTTAAATTTGGTTTGACCCTTTTCAGAATAACACTTTACCCCCAGCCCTTCTCCCTTTCTCCTAAGCCCTTAAGCAGGAATATGCAGGAGGTCTTGGGTAGCGTGCTGGACTGATGTAGGACCTGCACTTGCTCCTTCCTCTTTTATTTCCCAGTCTTTCCCCACACATCTCACCAGGATCCTATTAATACATGGAAATGAATATTCTTGAGATTAGGTAGATAATTGCTCCTTCCTCTTTAGTTCAGAAGCAGACATTTCTACAATGGAAACTTTTCCCCATTGCCTTAAATGGCAAATTAAGAAGCTCGCAGGTGCTCTGATGAAAGATGACCTTGAATCTTCCATCCTTATGGTAGATATAACCTCTGAGGAGAGCCTTGGGAACATGACAGATACCTATATAGACTTCTAGGGCTTCAATACCCTCACAGGGTACCTTTCTACCACAGCAGATACGAGAAAGCCCAGATCCCCTTGCTGAGGAAGGACTGATGCCTCACCATAAGGCAGTGTGGCCTAGCAAGTATTTGAACTCTGATGACAGACTCCCTGGATTCCAGTCCTGGTGCTGCACTTAGGCTACTTACTTGACTTCCCTGTGCCTCAGTTTCTCATCTGTACAATGCTGATAATGGTAGCTCCTTCATAGTCACAAAGAGAAATGTCTGATGTGTTAAACAACATGTGCTTTTGCTACTCAATATCTATACTAACATGAAGTAACCTATTTCCCTATTACTCTTGATACTTCAATAATATAATAGTAACATTATCAAGAATCAGAAAATTATGGCAAATTAGAGTTTGTACAAGCTTTATTTGGGGTCCTCGAAGATGTTATAAAAGATGATTCTGGTTGATATGAGCACAGACTTTGTTTTTCTTAATTTTTAATTTATTGTACTTGGAAAAATTTAAATAATGTATCTAATCCATGAGTTCATGGGTTTGCTCTGGATGAGGCCAAAGTCTGGTGGTGGGAATATAAAGCCCAATTTGAGTGAGGAAGAATTTCCTTTGGAGGACTTCAGGTTATGAGATGTTCTTGATTGGGATTTATGGCTTTGTCAATTTTGAAAAGTACTTTGAGAAGAAAAAAGCAATCTTTGTAGCTTAATTTTAGTTTCTGTTTCTGGTTCCCCATCCCCGCGCCACCCCCCCCCCCGCCGCTTGGGCAGTGTTTCAATGACACTAAACAGATTCTTTTCCCAAGACTAGTTCTCAATTTGCTTAATGGTAAAAACACCTAAGTAGAATCCCCTTCATTGTTGATAAAATCCTGTTTCTGAGAATAAACTCTCATTTCAAAGTAAAAATAATGTAGGCATGATTGACTGAAGGACACAGAAGGGCTTGGCGCAGTGTCATTCACATTTACTACTTGCTTTCTACCCATTTCCGAGAGGATGGCCCAATGGTGGGCTTGCTGTGATATGCTGGAGGAACAGTTGCTGAGAAAATTCATTGGTTGTCTCTTCTGAAGGCAGGGATATATAGAGAGCATGAGGCTGACAGGAGACCTGGGTTCTCTTTCCAGTTCTATCCCCTAAGTGTCTGACCTTGGGTGAATCACTCAAATCTCCTATGTGTCCATGCATAGATAGGAAGTAGAGCTAGCACAGAGTTCAGAGGCATCCAGGTGTTGTGTCTTAGATGGTAAAGTTCTGCCTCCCCACCAACCCCGCTGTGAAATGCTTTTGTTTCCCCTGTGCAATGCTATAAGAAGAAATGTCACATGAAACATTTGGAAGCTTTCCTTTTGTTTGAAACTTGGAAGATCCTATGACCTTGGTCCTACTCAGCAAAAACATACTGGTGATGAGTACCCGTTGCCCATTTTAGACACTGCATCCTTGGTCCCCATCATTCCCATTGACTTACATGATTCACGTGCCACATCAACCTGGCCTCTTTGGTCATGTATGCTTGTGACTTCCAAAAATCTTTTTTGATTGATCAAATATTTTTGATCTACCTTCTTGGCTGCTTCAAGAATAGACTGAATTTGCAGGTAATCAGATTCTGGATAAATAAAACACTTGTATTAACTTTTCACAATTTTCCATATACATAATATTGGTCTTCATAATGCCTATTAACTTTAAGATAAATTCAATTAGGCTCAGTGTACTTTAAAAAAATCTGTAATTTTTATGATGCTGGAGTTTTCACTTAAAAATGATTGTTTTGATGTACCTTTGAAATAAGATCCAAGTTTCTTTAATTATCTTAAATTATCAAAGGAATAATAAAAAACTTACAGAAAGTGGCAGGGGTAGGAGAAGCACTGGAGCTCACTGTTATTTGCTAACGTATTGCGTTCCTGCTCTCTATCTTTGGGGAGCTAGGAAAATATAATTGTTGGGGAGAAAGAGCATCAGGTAGGAGAAAAACCAAACAGATAAAGAAAAATAAAATGAGAAGCACTGATTCAATAATAGGACATTAAAACAATATTATTCTATGATATATATATGTGCTTCTCACTTTATATAATTATATACTGTATATTTTATATAGTTACATACAGTAGAGAGAGGTTTATTTTTAATTTTAATTGTAACAGGAAGCAAATATGGCATCCACCATGATTTTAACTCATTTCAAAGTTGTGAAATTTGCACAATATGCTATGTTACAGTTTTTTTCAGAAATATCTTTAACTGTTTTAGAATTTAGAATAAGAGAGTTTAATGTTTGCCGAACTCCATATGTTATGCAACTTTGTCTCAACTTCGTATAGTAACCCAATACAATGCTCTTGGGGTCTGTACTGCTGGGTGGAGAAAATCACTGGATTGGGTATCAAATTGGACCTGTCAAAACCCTGGCTCTAATACATGTAAGGGTCACAGAGACAGTAAGTTCTTAAGGCACATTGAGCATCAGTCTCCTCCTTTGTAAAAAGGGATAATATTGGGATTTACAAAGAAGGTTATGAAAACCAAATAAAACAATACTCCCAAATCACTTAACATAGTGTCTAGCATTAAAAACAAACAAACAAAAACAAACAAAAAAACCAAAAAAACCCACCATTAGATGTTTTTAAATTGGGTCCAGACAATAATTATTAGGACTTTTATAATACTTCAATTCTCACAACTTGTAAGAAATCATCTTGTTTTATTTACATATATATTTTGACTATTTTTAAGCAAAAATTATATCTGTTCATGATTATTGCTTTCTCCTACCGGTAGTGCACCATCAAAATTTGTGAGCAGGTGTAGGTTACATTTATCCTCACATCTGAACAAGATTTTATCATATAATAGCCCCCACCTATTGTAGAAGTGAAATATTTTGCAGACACCCACTGCTAAGTAAGAGGTGCTGACCTGCCTGATCTCACACAGCTGTTAGAATATCCAAGTGGCAAGGTCAGGAACTAGAGACAGGCAGGATGTTTGTTTTGTTGAGGTGGTTGTTGTTGTTGAGGTTGCCTCTTAATACTAGTAAGCCCTTAGGCAATGGTGTGGCATCATGTAGGCAAAAGACCTGCTTGGCTGCATCTTCCACCTGCCGTCTCATTGTTACCATGTCCTATTATTTGGTATAATTCCAGTCTTCTGAATTGTTAGGAAGAATTAAGCAATAGGTAGATCAGCATGCTATAGGTATGTAAACTGCTAACATCCTAAATCCAAAGCAATGAGAAGTACTTTAAGAAGTGAAAATTCAGCACGTGGTTGCTCTTCAGACTTACAAAGAGCACTTAGAAGTGAAGGTTGCAGAGAAACCTCAGAAAATAACAAAGCCCGTAAAATTCACTAGAGTGCAAATCAACACTTTTAACTTCAACCTTTCAAGTTACTCCTTGGTCTCCTACTCAATTTGATTCCTAAGTTGCTTAAAGAAGAAAAAGTTGGCCTGGTGCAGTGGCTCACGCCTGTAATCGCAGCACTTTGGGAGGCCGAGGTGGGCAGATCACGAGGTCAAGAGATTGAAACCATCCTGGCCAACATGGTGAAACCCCCTCTCTACTAAATATACGAAAATTTGTCGGACGTGGTGGCATGCACCTGTGGTCCCAGCTACTCAGGAGGCTGAAGTGGAAGAAGCGCTTGAACCACAGGAGGTGGGGTTGCAGTGAGCCAAGGTTGCGCCACTGCACTCCAGCCTGGCGACAGAGCAAGACTCCATCTCAAAGAAGAAGAAAAAGTCAACAGTAAAATATCTATAGAGGCAAAGGGAACCATTCTCTCTCTTGCTTTTCATTCAAAGAAAGGTCACATATTTATTTCCTGTTCTGTAGAATTATTGAAGGTATTTCTTTATGTTTTCTTTGTTCCTTATTTTGTTTTAACCTTTCTTTATGCTTTTAGTTGTATATATTATAGGCATCCTATAGCTAGCTATTATAAAAACAATTGTAGTGATTTTTTTTTGCTCAAATTATGTCTATTTTTGTATCTTCCAAACTTTGCATTCATCAGGTTGATTAGTACTTTTTATTATCTGCTAATTTGGAATTTTAACTACAGTTTATATTTTGTTAGTGCTTAGTTTTATATTTTAAGTCATATTTAACCTGCTTAAAAACCTTTTTCCCACATTTTATCTTGAAAATTTTTTATACATATAGTGTAGTTGAAAGTACTTATAATGCACATCTGTATATTCTTTACCTAGATTCTACAATTAACTATTGTACTTGCTCTAGCAATGAAGATATTCTCTTATGAAAACTTATTGGTACTGTTCGCAATGGTGCTTCAACATTTTTCCGACTAAAAAAAAAAGTGCATCAGACTTATATAATGTCTGTCCAAAAAGAGGTGGTTGGGTGGCTGGCAAGATGGCCAAATAGAGACAGGTCTGGTCTGCAGCTCTCAGCAAGATCAACACAGAAGGTGGGTGGTTTCTGCATTTCCAGCTGAGGTACCTGGCTCATCTCATTGGGACTGGCCCATGTGCAGCCCATGGAGGTTGAGCCAAAGCAGGGTGGGGTGTCGCCTCGCCTGGGAAGTGCAAAGGGTCAGAGAACTCCCTCCCTTAGCCAAGGGAAGTCCTGAGGGACTGTGCCATGAGGAATAGTGTACTCTGGCCCAGATACTATGCTTTTCCCAGGGTCTTCACAATCCAGAGATTAGGAGATTCCCTCGGGTGCCTATACCACCAGGGCCCTGGGTTTCAAACACTCAACTGGGTGGCATTTGGGCAGACATGGAGCTAGCTGCAGGAGTTTTTTTCATACCTCAGTGGCACCTGGAATGCCAGCTAGACAGAACCATTCACTTCCCTGGAAAGGGGGCCGAAGCCAGGGAGTCAAGTGGTCTAGCTCAGTCAATCCCACCCCCGTGGAGCCCAGCAAGGTAAGATCCACTGACTTGAAATTCTCACTTGCCAGTATAGCAGTCTGAAGTTGACCTGGGATGCTTGAGCTTGGTGGGGGAGGGACATCTGCCATTACTGAGGCTTGAGTAGGTGGTTTTCCCCTCACAGTGTAGACGAAGCCACTAGGAAGTTCAGACTGGGTGGAGCCCACTGCAGTGCCACAAAGCCACC